TTCCTTACCTGTCTCTATCTGCTTTTGTTTCCCATGACTCATTTTCTACACAGTAGCCAGAGTAATCTTTTAATGCATGTATCAGATCATACCATCCTCTTTTAAAACTACTCAGTGGCTTTCCATTCCAATTAGAACAAAGAAAATCTAAGCTTTTTAAAAGTTTATTTTTATTTATGATAGAAAGTGAGTATACATGCATAGCCCATGTCAGGGTTTTGTCATGCCATGATCTCCTTTCCCCGATCCTCCAACTTGTCAGGATTCGGGGCAACTGTGCACCTGTCTGGTGTGTTTTCAAGCCAACCTGGGGATTCCAAACTGCTGTCACCCATTTGGCTTCCAACACTGCAGATCAGTTTGCCACTGGCTGCAGGCTGGGCCCTGAACTTCTTAGAAGGGCCTACAAGGCCCTGAAGGACGTGGTTTTGCATATGACAATTTCATTTCCTTTTTGAAAGGGTATTTTTGAGATGAGTGGTAACATTACCTCCAACTTTGCAGGTAAGGAAACTAACGCTCAGCGAAGTTTATTTTATTTTGCTCATACAGTTAGAATAATTAAGATTTAGACTTCAGGCTATCTGATTCCAAACCCAGTGCCTCTTATCTAATAATTCCTAAATAATATAAAGCTGTGATTAAAACTCAAAAACTCTTACCCTGAAGCAAACTTCTAAGGAGGATGGATTCTACATGACAAATGTAGACATGCTCATCCCCATCTGTGATTCCTTGCAGAATTCTGAAGATAATTGAGCTGGCTGGTCACAAGATGGAGTTTTTGGGAAGGACAGCAAACCTGACTGTGTCCAGACTAGCACTGGCTGTGCTGCGGGTAAACCACATGTTTGAAGGCATGGCCTTCAACATTCGCTCCTATGAAGAAGGTGCAGACCCCGAGGTGTGTGCAGCTGAGGAAACTGAAAGCTATTTCGCCAAGCAGAGTTTCAAGTTCTTATCTCCTGTCTTGTGAGGAGAAAGTTCACTCTGTGTTTTGTTTTTGCTATAGGCTGTGCGCACTCACCAGAGAGAGAGAGAATGAGAAATCACCCCCAGGGAGGATGGCCATGCCACAATCCCTTCTTCATTCTCTCAGGATTTAGGGCATACATGCACTCACACCCAGCATGATTTTCAAGCCATCGAATTGGGCACTGGGACCACAGTTGGCCACGCCACCTGCTGGCCCCATGTTTTCAGTTTTTAACTATGCTGCTATGAACATTCATGTAAAAATCTTTGTGTGGACATGTGTTTTCATATGTAACATTAACCTACCTATCATAATGAAATAGCCCGCTTAATCTCTGATAATATGCTGTCTTGCAGTCTTTTTTTTTAAAGAATTATTTTATTTAACTTTATTTTTTTATTTAAATTTGACCAGAGATGGACAGAGAGAGAGACAGAGAGAGAGAGACAGAGAGAGACAGAGAGAGAGAGGAAGTAAGCCGCCAGGTCCAGGACTTGAACTGCTGTTGGCCATATGGGAGTCCAGCGCCCTTAATCACCACATCATTTGCTGGCCCTCTTTGTAGTCTATTTTTATCTGATTTCAATGTAGTTAGCCTAACCTTGTTATAATTACTGTGCAAAAAATATACGCATACATAACTTCTCTACTTCCTAGCTGTCTATTTAAGGTACACTTTTTGTAGTTTGTATTTCACTTTTTTTTTTATACCTGCTGATAATATCTGCCTTTTAATTGGAGTGTGTAGTCCTTTAAAATTTAATGTACAATAATTAGAGGTATGATTGAACTTAAGACTATCCTATAATTTCACTTCTAATGTCCCTCTGTTTTTTGTTCCTCTGTTCCTCCTTTCCTGTTGTCTTTTGCTTTATTTTAGTATGTATTTAAATTTTTTTTTTTTACTAATCTTTTAGAGGTTTTTGCTATAGGGTGCGTGTGCTCGCCAGACAGACAGACAGAGACAGAGAGACAGAAAGCGAGAAATCACTCCCCAGAGGGGATGGTCACGCCCCAATCCCTTTTCCTCCATTCTCCTCTCGGGATCTTGGGCATGCATGCACATGAGCCCGGCGCGAGTTTAAGCCACCGGCTGGGACGTGAACCGCGGTCGACTACATGGGAGTCCAGCAACACAGCCATTACACTAACTGCTGATCCCTGTATTTTAATTTTTTACTGGCTCTTTAATTATATCTGTATGCATTATTTTCTTAACAGTGGCTCTAGAGATTACAGTATAAACCCATATATTTTCACAATCTGCTTACAGTTAATACTGTACTGCTTCATGTGAAATGTAGAAATTTTGAGTGATACATGGCCACTTACACCTCCTATTCTTGATGCTATAATTGTCATATATATTTTTCCCTAAGAAGATCATAAAACCCACAAGAAATATTATAGTCTTAAAGGTAATGCAGGTCTGATGATGATGAATCTTTAGTTTTCATTTATCTGAAAATGCTTATTTTTTGTCTTTATTCCTTTTTTAGAGTTTTAACTGGTTTATATCATCCAATGAATATTTACAAAATTTTAATTGACACATAATAATTAAATGTGTTTAGGAGGTATAATGTGATATTTTAATACATGTATTGAATGTGTAATGATCAAATCAGGGTAACTAGTATTTCCATCATTTCTTGTCTTTATTCTTGAAGGATATTTTTATTTGCTACAGGATTCTGGATTGACAAATTATTTCACCCCAATATCTTAAAGATATTCTACTCCTTTCTGGTCTTTATGTTTTCTGATTATAAATCAGTAATTATTTGAGTTATGTTTCTCTGTATTTAATGTGTAATGTATAATGTGACATTTTCCTCTAGTTGTTTTTAATTTTCTGGAGTTCAATATTGTGTGTGTGTGTGTGTGTGTGTGTGTGTGTGTGTGTGTATAGTATTTACCCTTGTTTGCAGTTTGTTGAACTTCTCGAATATGTACATTTATGACTTTCATTGAATTTAGGGAAATTCCGCCATTATTTCTTCAAATACTGTTTCCTGGTTATTTTCTCTTTTCTTTTGAGACTGCGATGATATACTCCTCAAGTCTTTGAGACGTTCATGTTTTCATTTTACTATTTATTCTTTTGGAGAGATAATCTCTTCAAGTTCACTGACATCAGCATCTTCATGTTATTTAGCCCACCCAAGTGCAACTTAAAAATAAGTATTATATTTGGAATTCATGGTAAATAAAGTGATTTTAGCTGTTCTTGCCACAAAAAAATGGATAATTATGATTCAATGGATATGTTAATTTGCATCAATATAAAAACTTTTTTAACTATACATATTCCATAAGATCATGTTGTACACCTTAAATTAACACAATAACATTTATTTCTTCCAAAATTCTATTGTTAGGGGGCCAGCAGGTGGCATGGTGGTTAGGGCGCTGGACTACCACATGGCTCAGAGTGGTTCAAGTCCTGGATCTAGTGGCTTACTTTCTCACTTTCTCTTTGTCTTACTTTCTGTCTCTTAATGTCAGTGCATGTGCCCTACAGCACATTTAAATAATAATAATTTAAAAATAAAATAAAATCATTCTTTTTAAAAATTCTAATGTTATATTCAGAGTTCTAGAATTTCCATTTCGTTTGTTTTTGCTTCTCTGCTATTTCCTCTCATTTCACTAGTTGTGAAAGTATTTCAGTTTTAAATGTAGGAGCATAGTTAGACTAGCCACTTTAAAATCTTTGTTAATTCTGCTATCTGGGTCAGTGCAAGGTTCATCTCCATTGATTTCACTTGAAAATGGTCACTCCTTTTCTCTGTTCACCTATGGAGTAATTTTGGATTGTGTCCTGGGTATTGTAAATGTTATATTGCGAACACTCCAGATTCTACTATATTCCTCTGAAGACAATTTATTTTTGTCATACTGGGCAATTAACTTGGTTGAAATAAAACTGTAAACTCCATCCCTTGATTGGTGGTTTAAATCTCAGTTAAGTTCCTTTAGCTTTAGTTGGAGTCTGTCCCGTACACATGTATCCTGAACAGAGAGGTCGGGCAGATGTTTGGGCAGAATTTATACTCAGAATTTGGGCTCCCCCTCGCTAACTTTCTTTTCCAAATGTTCTCCTCCTCACTTTCCAGTGACTGTGGTTTCCCTGACTTTTGTTTTCTAGTTCCTCATGCCAGAAAGACTGTAGGTTTTCCATCAGTTTTAGATATCCGTCACAGCATTCGTCTCAGCCTGCCATCAGACTAGAAGCTGTAAAAGCCAGTTAACTCGCCTTGTGATGTTACTGCTTTTTTAAGTGTCTACTCTTCTCTAGGATCTGTATGCTTTTGTTCATTTTCCAGTGCCTTCAAGTCATTGTTATTCTGTATCATCACACACAGAAGGGTAGAGTCCATTAGGAGATTCTTAGCCATGCTGGAAGCTGATGTTGACTTCCCAATGCATTTCATTTACATTTTGGGTTTTCTACAATATTATGAACTTTGGTGGAGAAATTAACCAGCCAACCCTAATCACATTCTTAGTGCCAAACTGCCTTCATATTGAAGCTAACTTATGACTTTTCCCTGGTACTC